CGAAGATTATATTAAACCTCGAAAATAAAAAAGCCGCAAATGCAAACCTCTAGCGCAAATGAGGAAGAAAGAGACGAGTTTTATGAAAACCTACAGATGGCATTTGATGATTGATGATGATAAATGTAAACATACCATTGTCATGGGAGACTTTAATGCAAAGGTTGGTAAAGAAAAGGGCGAATCATGTATTGGTAATTTCGGCATTGGGAATAGAAATGAAAGTGGAAAAAAGTTGGTGGAATTTGTAGAGGGAAATAAATTTTACATAATGAATACATTTTATAATAAAGCTAATGATAAGAAATGGACGTGGATTAGCCGGGATGGACAAACAAGGAACAAAATTGATTCTTTCATAGTAGACAAGAGAGAAATCATACAAAACGTAGAAATTGAACAGAAAATAGATATCAGTAGTGATCACAGAGCGATAAAGATGACAGTACAGATAAGTACGAAACGACAGATACCGTACGTAAAGAAAATGATAAGTTACAAATCTACTGATGAATTAAAAAGAGAAAACTTTGAAGACCGAATAAAATGCGGATTAAGTTTGAAGGAAATTCAAGCTAACCCTAACATAGAAAACCAAAAACATATAATAACTAAGGCAATAACAAGGGTTACAAAGGATATTCAAAAAGATACAAAAAAAGAAAAACAGAGGTCAAATTTACCATGCGATATACGTCAACTATTAAATAAAAGAAAAACAACAAAGAGATCAGGAAGAGAAAAGATTGAGTACACAGAAATATCAAAATTAATAAGGAAAAAATGGTCATATAACAAAAAAATAATAGAATTAGAAGATGCAATTACTACGGGAGGAAGTATAAGAAAAAGTGTGAGAGAGCAATCACTGGGACAAAATAAAATAATAGTAATGAAAGATAAAAACGGTATGAGCAAAAGGGACGATGCAGAAATATTAAACATTATATGCAACTTTTATAAGGAACTATACAACAAGGCGGAAAAAGAAGGAATTGAATGGAATACTCCATCACGTCTGCGATGGAGGCTGAAGAGAGAGAGAACACGAAATAATGACAGAAGAAGTAAATGATGTAATATCAAAGCTGAAGGAAGAAAAATTGGTGGTATAGATCAAATAAGAAATGAAGAAATAAAGGCAGGAGGAAACCATATAGTGAAAATATTGAAGGAAATTTTTAATAACTGTTTGAAACAAAAAAAAGATACCTGATAGCTGGCTCGTAGCTAAACTTGCCTTAATATACAAAAAAGGCGATAGGGAACATATCAACAATTACAGACCAATAAGTTTACTCCCGGTGATGTATAAAATATTTATGTTCATAATCACAAGGAGAATAGAGCTACAAACAACACAAGAAGAACTTCTCCACGTTAGACAATATTTTAGTCGTACAGCAACTGATAAAAAAAATCGAATGATTATGACTTCCCAATGCTGTTATTATTTGTAGACTTTGAGGAAGCGTTTGACAATGTAAGAACAGAAACAATATTCGTATATTAAACTATATATACAAAAACTCAAAACTAAACATCGAAATGAACAATAATAAAAGGACGATAACTCTAGGAAATGGACTGAAGCAAGGTGATGTGACTTCTGCAAAGCTATTCAATGCAATATTGGAAACAATGTTTGTAGAAGAAGAATGGAAAGACCTGGGAATAAGATTAAATGGGCAATGGTTGAACAGGCTAAAGTTTGCAGATGATATAGTACTTATAGGAGAAAACGAAACGGAAGTAAGGAAAATGCTGGAAACAATATCGCGAAGAGGGAAGCAAACTGGTCTGCAGATAAATATGAGCAAAACAAAAGCAATGTACGTAAATTATGAACAAAAAAATAAAATAATTGTTAATGGAAAAGAAATCGACAAAGTAGAACATTTCATATATCTAGGACAAAAGATTACAACTAAAAATACAGGAGAAGAAATAACACGGAGAATGGCAATGGGATAGCAAATATTTAACAAATACAAAAATATATGGAAATCAAACATAGAAATGGATAAAAAGAAAAAATTGTGGGAAATGTGTGTCCTCCCTGTCATGATTTATGGATGCGAGACATGGATATTAACAAACAAAATAACTAAAAAGATTAGGGTAACAGCAAGAGCAATGCATAGAAGGATGATTGGCATTACGAAGAAAAATAAAAAAACAAAAGAATGGATAAGGGAAAAGTCAAACATCGAGGATATTGGAAGAATAGTATTGGATCGAAAATGGAATTGGGCGGGTCATATTATAAGAGTACAAGATGAGAGATGGACCAAGAAAATCTTAGAATGGTACCCAATAGACAAAAAGAGAAGAAAAGGAAGACCAACTGCCAGCTGGGAAGATGAGTTTAAGAGGAGTTGTGGAAAAGTATCATGGCACAGGGTAGCTTGGGACCGACAAAAATGGAAGAGAATGAAGGAGATATACACGGAAGTATGGCTTTACACGGACTAATACCAAGAGCATATGAACTCAGTCCCATTATGGGAATGTCACGGTTGACACCGAAATAGTCAAAAAAATAAAAAAGGAGCAAAGATGAAATTTTAATTTGTTAAATTTTTGATTTTTGATATTAATTTGCTAAAGTATGATTTTGATTTCTTAAATTTTAATTTTGTTCTGTTAAATTTTGATTTGTTAAATTGTAAAAAGTTTATAAGAGTTGTTTCTTTTGTTGGTGATAATAAATGGTTATCTATCTATCTATTACAAGTTTGGTATTTATCAAAATAAATTTCATACAAAACTCCAAAAAGTTCTTACAAATTTGTCGTCAACTTTCCAATTCGCACCTGAATCGTAATTGTGTTAATCCGAACTCGCTAATTGCCAATAAACGAGTTTTGAAATTTATTTACAACTCGGTTTTCACTCTGTTTTGTGCGAGTATTACCATAGAGCTTCGTAGTAGCATAAACCATAGACACTCGGACAATTTAGCTGAGGACGTTAACGATGTCGATACGTTGTGTTTGCGCGAACGGATAATGTTACAATGGGCCGAGAAACTCGTAAATCTAAATGGCAAACTATGGCACCTGTCGTCGTTGTTAAAACGAACATTTAACACGAGTACAGTTCAAATAACGTTCCCAGTAACAACAAATAACTTAATTTTTTTAATCTTTTCTTTTCAGTTACGGTTGTGGTTTTATGATCACTTTTAAAATCAACAACTTAAAGTAGAAAGAGAAAATGGTTTCAAATTTCCCAAGGCATTTTTTTTTTGCGGTTCGAACAAATAGAATAATTTTGTAATGAACTTTCCTCGAAGTATTTAAATTACTAGGAATCATCCCCTAGGTGTGTCTACTTTATCTATATATAACCCTCATGTAATACGATACGACTATATCCAGTCGCCATGTAATATAGAGTTGCGATCAATACCAGACTAATCGCTTTTAGAGGTCTTCAAGGAGATTCCATTTGGTTATTAAAAACACGGTTATAGGGCAAAAAATATTTTTTCTGATAATACGTTTAATATTTCCAAGAACAGTACCTCGACACACATATTTCAGGTGCTCGTTCCACATGGCCCGCATGACATTGATTCTAGTCATGACATCTGGTTCTTCATGTTTTTTTTAACAATTATAATTGAAATGTGTATCTACGTTTGTTCTATTTTCATGCATACCTTTGAAAATCGTGTCATTGATTTAAGATGAGCATGTCTTCGCACCATACATAACCACGGGTGGTACAAGACATAAGTTGAATGTTACCTTGAATTTTTATGCAATATCTTGATGTTCCTCATTATCATTCTTACCAGGTCTACCAGTTATTTTGGGATGTTTAGGCAATAAGAGGATTTGAATTCGATGAACATATGGAATGTGTCGATATTGTGCTTTTTCAATATCTGGTACAAATGTTACGTCCGTCGTTGATCTACATAAGTACTTTCCTACAAGCTTTTCCATAATACATTGGAAGCAGTCTTTTCGATAGTACATTGGAAAATAATTTATATGCTGTGCTTACAAACGTAACACCTCTCCTCCTTCTCGAGTATTGTTTGTGTAGTCCATATTTACTCGTATATTTTGTGTCAACGTAATACATCTATAATATTCGCACTTCCTTCATTCAACTACTGATTCAACTACATTCAACTTCCTGCACTTCGTCATTTACACCCTCTCCGATTTTCCGCAGTCATGTCAGTATCTACATACTATGTGTCAAATATTTTACCACATGTCTTGCCTATTGCTATCCCTGGATCTTAATGTACTCTGACACATTAGCTCTTTGTAGCAGCTGTATAATTCCTAGTTGTATCTTGTCCTTCATATATTATTCTCACACATCGGGCCTAAAATTTTTCTCGGGATCTTCCTCTCAAAGACATCAGTGCTGTTTATCATTTTGTAAGTTAGGTCGTTATAGGCATTAAAATTGTTTTATAGATTTGGAACTTTATGTTTCAATGTATATCCTTAGATTTGTGTTGCTGTGGTCGGTCCGAGATTTCATCCGTTCCTCCTGTTGGTTCCCTTTGGAAAGGGGCAGACGTTTCGCCAAGATGTCACTTGACATCTTCAGTGCGTTGTCGTAATCTCCTGTCGACAGACTGTCAATCTTGTAAATAGGGCATATATGGTCATATATGGACTTATTCCTTTGGAGTAGGTTGTATAGCCTATTGACCAAAGCATCCTCTTCGTTTTTTACAACTTCTGAGGACGTTGTCAATCCCTGGCGCCTTTCCGAGCTTAATGGCAGTTACTTCAGCCGTACTTGGCGAAGTAATTGGAGATTCACTGTAGATGTTTTATTCTTGTTACTGCCATTACTGATTACTTTCAGTATTTTTCATGTTTAGAAGGGTTTTTAACCCTGTTTAACCTAGTGTTACCATATGGAATCACAGCGCGCCGACTTATTATTTGCAAGTTTGAACTTGTTTGTGCAAGCAAATCGTGTCGAGAAGCGTTTATGCATGTGCAGAAACCTCAGTCGCGCCATAACTAGCAGTTAGAGCGGTTCTAAGTATGTTTTGTTAGAAATAATAGTTAATTCATTATAGTGGTTTTTATGATTGACGACGATATGGATGATTACGCGAGGTAAGTAACTATTTTTTATATTTCGCAATAATATAAATATTTGATTCTTATGTATTATATTCTACACACTTCATACTATAAATTAACATTATTTGTTTTACTCTCTTCACACTACTTTTTGAGAAAACATGACAAAATTTCCATGTTGCCAAACGGCAACGCTAAGTTATCCCAATGCTATTTTGAATGAAACGAACGAATAAAATACTTTCACGATTGTTACATGTTATTTACATTTTGGATCATTTATGATGCCCGTTCAATGTTATATTGTAAAACATTTTTATTTTAGAAGCATGGGCATTCGATTTGTGGATGGATTTACTGTCAAAGAAGCATTAGATATGATTTTTGAAGTTGAGGAAAGAAATGAAAACGACGACAACCCAATAAGAGCAGTGTTTATATCTCCACCTGAGGCAACTGTTCTTACGGATGAAGATTCTGGAGATGAAGTTGAGTGTGAAGCTGATAATTTGAATGCGAGACTATTATTATCAGAAGCAGAGGTTGTAAGAGCACATCGAATAGAAGAAGAATTTGTTTGGGAGGAAAATAAAAAAAGAACATGGATCGAAGGGGAATTTGAAACTACAGTGGAAGATAATTTTCCAAGCCAGGTTCATGATTTTACAAACAAATCTTCTTCAGATATTTTCGAATTATTTTTCAATGAAGAAATTATTAATTTTTTAACGAGTTCTTCAAACGAATACGCGCAATTTATAAATTATGGAAATCCTGCAATAACTTCAGAAGAAATTAAAGTTTTCGTGGCAATATTGATTCTCAGCGGATATAATAAATTGCCAGGAAAGAGATTTTATTGGGATAAAACTAACGGCATGGGCAATGAGCTAGTAACAAATAGTATGCGAAGAAATCGATTTGAACAAATTTTACGATTTTTTCATTGCTGTGATAACTCCAATCCAAATTTAAACGATAAAATGTGGAAATTGCGACCCTTGGTGAATATGGTAAAAAAAACATTCACAAACACTATATTCCTGAAAAAAATTTGTCATTTGATGAATGTATGGTGAAATATTTCGGCAAACATGGATGCAAGCAATACGTTCATGGAAAACCGATTAGGTTTGGTTACAACGTATGGTGTTTGAACACTGTAGATGGATATCTTGTGGACTTCGAAATTTATCAAGGAAAAAGCATATCTTCGAACGAAAGATACGAAAAATGCTTTGGGAAAGCTGCTGCTCCGTTACTCACGATGCTGGATTCTTTACCCAAGGACAAGCAGTTATTGCCCTATCATTTATATTTTGATAATTTATTCACCAGCCTGAATTTATTACGTTATTTGAAAGAAAGAGGATACCACGCAACGGGAACAATACGAGAGAATAGAATTCCTAAAAATAATATTCTACCTTCAAATAAAGAATTCAAAAAAAATGATAGAGGAGTTTATCAGAGTGCAATTTGCAAAGAAGATGCAGTAATTGTTGTAAAATGGGCAGACAATTCTATTGTCTCAATTGCTTCGAATTGCTATGGCGTTGAGCCACTTTCCACTGTCAAACGATACTCTCGAGTACATAAAAAAACTGTCCAAGTGTCACGACCTTATGTATTGAGAGAATATAATAAATACATGGGTGGAACAGATAGAATGGACGAAAATGTTGCCAAATATCGTATAAACATACGTAATAAAAAATGGTATTGGCCCCTTTTAACGTGGCTAATAGATATCTGTATACATAATGCATGGACGCTGCAACGAAAATTTGGAAGTACTGAAATTCCACAACTTCAATTTCGAAGAGAAATTGTACTGACTTATCTCGGCCAATATGGAAAAGCAGCAAAAGGTGCAGGGAGACCTTCCTCCTCGAAAAGTTCCATCATGCAAAGGGTATCCGAAGCAGTAAGATCAGATGGGAGAGATCATTTTGTAGCAAAAATACCGGACAACAGAAAATGGCGATGTGCTGGTGGAAACTGCAAATCCATAATGAGAACTATGTGTAAAAAGTGTAAAATTGGTATCTGTATAGATTGTTTTGAAGAGTTTCATAAATCACAATAAAATGTGTATCAATGAAAAATGGTTGAAATGGAATTTTCTTTGTTTTGTCATTTTTTATTTTTGTTTATATTTTGGAATTATTGGAGAAGCTGAGCTCTAACCTTATTAATAATTGACATCCTAATAGCAGTGTAACTTCTTAGCGTTGCCATATGGCAATGCGGATTATCTCGTAACTTTTATTAGTTTTTGATAATATATATTTAAAATGTCCTTATATAACAACAAAATAATAGTATTATACAAAAAAAATTTAAAAAATTAAAAAAAATATAATTTAGGTTATTAAGGGTTAAAGTAATCTTCCCAAGAACTCTTTATTTCCTCGATATCATGTACTATCCTTCCTGTCACTGTCTTGTTATTGTTTTATAAATGTATACGTATATCTTGTAGTCCTTTTCCATGTTCAACAGTTGGTCATTTTCATACTTTTGTATTGACCCCATTTGGGTCTCCAGGTGGTTAGGGTGTATGTATTTATTTCGGATAAGATTTAAACTCTTTTTAGTTTAAAATTACTAATTTATTTTACTTCATTACATATCTATTGTGTTCGTTAAAACTATGTGGCTACGAATGCTTGTCGCTTAGAATTATTGACTACTTATGTATTTCATTTGCGCCAACAATTCTATTGCTCAGCGTTATTGTAACCACGCGCTGATGGCCAAAGTGTAACTTAACACTTCCGATGGCGAGTGACTGTTTAATTGGCAACTTATACAATAACAATAATTTATGTAACTTTGAATATTAAAATGTGTCCATCACACCTCCTCCTCTTGCATCAACAGATTCTGTCAGTGGCTCTCCTCGCCTCCTTAAAATTCTACTCTTTCTATCGTGTGCCCCTCTATCTTCAATCTGAACGCTTCTTTCCTCTTTTGAATATTCTTCTCACACTCTATGTTGGACCATGTTGACCTTTATCGTTATTTTGAATGGAATGTCCCAATTTTTATTGAATTTTCATGTTATTTAACATAATTTTCATTTTATATGTATAGATTGTCTCAGGGTTTGCACAAATAAGACCCATAGCTTACATTATTTTTATTTTATTTATTTATTTGAACAAGAGAACAACAACGGGACGAACCCAATAAGGTCATAATAATATAATGTTATGTTATAAACATTATAACATAATGTTTGAAAACTTTTTTTTAAAATTATACAAAATGATCAGAAATTTGCCACAAATTTCTCTATCTCAAAAAATGGAAAAGTAATCTTTTTTTAATGGCAATCCCCGTGTATGCTGTGCCGTTCACACCAAAAGAAGAGTGCCAGGAAAGAGTTCATGATGCATTTCGATCTCTTTCATCGTAAGAAATTCGGAGAATTTATAAATGTTTGGAAATTTTGGTAGCAACCAGTTCGAACGTTTACTGTAATTAGATTAATTTTTAATTTTTTCTGATTTTTCATTTATATTGTTAAATATAGTATCTTAATTTTTTCTGCTGTTATAAATTTTTATTCAATTACGAAAATTGCAAAATGTGTGGACCTTGAGAAGAATTTATGGATGCAAACTTCATCCATGGGTTGTATCTTCGAAAGTAGCACACTCCTTCGTTTTGAGTTAATCACAAAGTTTCCTTACTTTCGCAATACTTTTCTGTATAGCGTAGAATAGGTTTTGTTTCATATCGATTCCTTCAAACCATTGACAAGTGCCAGTAGTTTGCCATATACATATAGACTCAGCTCTTCTGAAAGACCCTGTACATGTTAGAGTTTGCCTGAACTTCCTTACTAGTGATGGGCACTATCGAATAAAAACTATCGAATAATTGATAGTTGCCAAGTATTCGAATAATTCGATATTAAGAAATTTAATCGAATGTTTGAATACGTATCATATATTTGTTGATTTCTAATAGTAATGGGCACTATCGAATAAGATAAATCATATAATTCGATAGTTGCCAAGTATTTGAATAATTTGATATCAAGAAATGTATTCAAATGTTTGAATAAGTATCATATATTTGTCAGCAAGTTGTCGGGTATACGACAAGAATTCATTGTATGACTACAGGTGTAAGTATCTACTATATTTCTTTTAAATATCAGTAAGTAGGTACAGGGTGGGGCAGAATTGAAGAGCGTCTTTGAAATAAGAATAACTCAGCTGTTGTTTAAATGACTAAAAGTTTATTTATGAAAAAGTAAACTTTAGATATTTCTTGTGTTAATTCGCCGTCGACACAACTCTGGGATCAAAAAGTTTTCCAACATGAAAGTATATCGCTCGAAGGTTACAGTTACAGTAACCCCTTGTGCATCTTCGAAAAAATAAGGTCCAAACAATCCAAGATTGCTTACAGCACACCAAACGGCGACTTTCTCACAGTGAATGCACTTCACGAGGGTTTTTGCTGCCCAATATTGGAAATTCTGTTTGCTAGCAGAACAGTTCAAATGAAAATGAGCCCCATTCATTTTTCAGGGAACTGCTGGCGTTGTGCAAAATCTCCTTCTTTAACTAATAATAATAATAATTTTATTATAGACTTTATTAGAATGGCATTTGATAGCTGATAACATATAAATAACATATTTTGATAAGATAGCTGACAAAGGCCCTACTGTAGTCTAGCAAAACTAATCCAGTAAGCCTATTTTGATCCGCCGCAAACAATATGTCATCAACTATATGCGTTAATGCTGTATCGCAACTGTAGTTAGCACGAAATCCAGACTGTGTCCTAGGCAAAATATTATGCTTATCAACAAATTCCCGAATTTGGTCATTCATAATTTTTTCTAATACTTTAGACAAAACAGGTAAAATACTAATTGGTCGCAGGTCCGAAAATGTCATAGGATTTTTAATCTTTGGCAAAGGTGTTACCAAAGATTTCTTCCAACATTTTGGAAAGATTGACCTCGATAAGCATATATTAATATGTGTGACGTAAGGAATGATGAAGGGACAACAGTAATGTATCATCACAACCGAGAGTTCATCATATCCCACACAGCCAGACTTGATATTCAATAAATGGCCCGCTACAATATGCTCCGAGACAGGCACAAAAGCAAATAATTCATTAAAGGTAGACTTTTTCCTAGTAGTATAAGCCTAAATTAAGTCTAGATCAGCGATCATTGAGTTTACTGCAGCTTGTAAAAAGTTATCATTAATAACTTCAACGTCATTCAAATGTTGTGGAAGTACCTGCTCTTTTGATTTGATAACATTCAGATGCCTTAGTGATTTCCAGAGATCCCTAGAACTTTCTTTTTAAAAGATGATTCATAGTACGCCTTCTGCTCGGTCCTTATTGCGCAAGCAACATGTTTTCTAAAAGATTTGTATTCATTAAGTACTAGTTCAGTTTTAGACTTTTTGTACTTGCTGTAAAGACGATCTCTAAACTTAATCATGTCTCTAAGCAGGGAAGTAAGCCAGGGGGCAGATTTTTTGCTAAGCCTCACCATCTTTACAGGTGCATGAGCATCGAATAATGCTAGAATTAAATGGTTAAAGTACCGTAATTTCACTTCAACATCATCAATTCCATACACAAGGTCAAACGGCTGCGATTGAAGATCTAACGTGAAAAAATTCAAGTTAAATACAGAAAAATCTCTGTAGGTAAATTGCTGGATAACCATAAGCTTATAGGGATAAAAGCGAAGGTCTTGATGTAAAATTCTGCGAAGTGTTCGACTACTCATTCGCAGTACTGGAGCTCGTTTTAGAACAGAGCGCTGTGGACTTACAATTACTGCTTGTCTCACCCTTTCTACGGACCCAGGTGACCTTACATTTCGAGGACGACCATGAGGCTTTTGAGTCATTGCTGATACCGTCGCTCTAAAATTCTGTACCCATCTGTTGATTGTGTCACGTTTCGACCAATATTGAAGTGTTGGCGAAACCGCCTCTGCACGACAATAACAGACTCGCCTGATTTTAGATATTCCTCAACTGCGAACGCACGATGCTCTCTTGTCCAGATAACCATTAAGAGTTATAAACGGATGGCGTTAGTCGTGACACCTTAATTAATTAATTAATTAACAACAGCTGAGTTCTATTCTGCCCCACCCTGTATATACGCGTATTGTATATCATTTTAAACATAGTATTTATGTCTAGAATACTATTAAAAGCAAATTGTTTGAGTGTATGAATTTTCTCGATAGGTCGAATCATTCATTTAGTAATTATTCGATAGTCAAATTCATTCGATGGTGCCCATCACTATTCCTTGCCAGAGCATAAGTGGACAGTATATTAACATTTTATGTAACTTAACAGAGATGAATCATTAAAAATCGTAGAGAGGGCAACAGAATCTCTCATAAAACGTAAAGTATAAACGAGTCGATTATTCACTTTATTAGAAATTTAAGAGGTCGTGAATGTCACTATAATCGATAAAACTCCATCCTCTCAGCTCATCTAAACACAAATAGACTGCACCAACAGTATAAATTTCAACGTACTTATACCTTTGGTCGTTGTAATATTTACTTCACCAACATCTAGATTCTTATAATGCAGCAGGCTAAACACCTTTTTTTGACGATCAGGTACAAAATAATCAACTAATATATACATAAAACCATTCCTATATTTCATTTATTGCGTTTATTAGTTGTATACTCAGCAGGAAGTTTAATTAGTTGCAAATGTTGTGCCATTAGAATGTTGATTTTAAATGCCATTAGCGACAATCAGAAAACTTATATCTAAGTTAGTGACAAAAATTTATGTTTACCCGCTGGTTTAAATAGGATATTGCAAATTATCGGTAATAAACCGCGATGCTTTATGAGCACTGGATATGTCAACAATTTCCCCAGAAACAGTTCAAAAGTACCCATATGGTGTTTTATATGGTAAATATTAATTGAAACTTAAGTAGAAATGGACATTAACCTTAAAGTAACAC